TTTGAGGCAGTGGTAGTAGCAGTACTTCCAGGAAAATAATGGTGCTTTATTAGAGATATCATTCAGTGTGACACTAATTCACTTTTTTTACACCCGTTTTTTCTGTTGTTTTTTTGTTTGTTACAATAATAAAAAATGTTTTTAGCATGCACTAAATCCTGACGCTGCAGGAAACCTTTCCTATGCTTGGCAAACTGTGCCATAGCAATCAGATAGTGATCAACAATGAGGCATATTATTTGAATATGATGACTGATGTGAAAGCAGTCATACATTCATCTTTGTAACTGTTACAACCACAACCGAAGATTAAATGTATTTATATTCTGACAATGTGCAGCTATGATGTATATCTTGTAGCACTGTTCTTACTATTGATGCAGAACAAAGACAGCTTTGTAATGACCATATACTGTACAATCTGATTGTAGAAATCGATTCAGGTAGGTCTCATCACTACTTGGTCTTTGGCAAAAATGTAAAGTCAATAATACTATGAGGTTGTGACGTGTATAGCCAGCATAGCTTACAGGCTAGGTTCACACCTGCACTACAACGCACGACACGCGGGGCGCGCGTCCCGGGATCGCGCAGTCCTGTACAATGCAGACAACGATTGCCGGGCGTACCCATTGATTTCAATGGGGTGACATCCGCGCGGCAATCACAATAAAAAGGTACATGTACCTTCTTTTTGCGATACACGACGCGAGGCTGTTTTAGCCACGGTTGTGTTCGGAAGCACGGCGGGAAACCGCGCGGTGCGACTGGGGTGCCATTAGAATATAATGGCACCCACAAGGCGATTGGTTCACACCTTGGCGATTCCTGACCGCGCGGCGATCGTGAGGTGTCGCCTAGGTGTGAACCTAGCCTTAGTCCGCACATGGTGCCAACCTATTAGAGGAGTCAATTGCTGTCTCCGTTTTTTTTTGTTTTTTTTTTAAATCTTAGTCCTTATTTATTCTAGTAAGCCACTCGTATTTTCACCAAAGCCACTGACTCCCTTCTCCTTTTTTCTCAATCATTCTATCCTTTGCAAAAGCTGACACAGCATCCTGAAAGCTTGTTAGGTGGTGGAAGGTTTTAAGGACTATACCTGGGTACACACACAAGGAATTTTAGCTGATTCAGCAGGAATCATTTGAAATTCAATCTGTGGGTGGCCCTAAGATTAGCTTACATGTTGGAAACTTTTTGGCTGAAGAGTGCTTGCAGCCAATTAGCTGCAGGCGCTGTTTGGGTGTTGAAAGCGGCAGGTGCTGCAGTCAAAATACAATGTACACAGTGGGAGATTTGTGTGGATCGAAGAATGTGTCAGATTTTTTTCGTTCACCCGTCTTCACACTCTCAAAACTTCCTCCCTCCTTGCAGGCTGAAGTAGTGCTCACAAAATGCTCTGTACAGCTTGATGTTGGCATCTGTCCTGCATCCAGATGTGGCAAATCAGAAGCTGCTGACTTGTCTGAAATTAAAGCAGTGTGTGGCCCTTTCAGCACCCGCGTTTGACACAAGTTAGTTTTTTTCAATCAACGTTTGTCAAAGCAGGCGGGACAAAATCTCCTGGCCGTACAATGACTGTTGCTGCAGGTACAGCATGGTTGTCAGAATACAAAAGTCCAGCGGGAAGGATTCCCCCATCCATGAGGTTTCTCATTCAGCCCCGCAGGTCAGTGTATGGCCAGCTTTAGACTCCATGCACAGCCCGCTTTAGTGCACTCAATAATGAGCACTCAGTAACAGAATTGGTCTTACACAGCCCCTCCACTCCAATGTAATACAGTCTGTGTGACAACACTTGTGGGGTGTTTGTTACACATGTATGTCACCACAAAGCATTGGAGGACAGGAAGCCGCATTTTCACTTAAATAAAAGTTGTTAAAGGTATTCTAAAGCAAACAGCAGTCATAGATTATAACATGCAGGAGCACAGTAGTGTTAAGAGGTAAAAGGGTGACACGTCAGTTGTGCTTTAATTTTATCGATTCAACTTTTTGGTGTAGGAGAACAGTAAGTTCTTACAGAAACTGCCACTCAACTGCCCCATTGTGTAAAAAACAAAACAGAAAACACCTTTTTAGAAAGAAAAGATGCCACTGACTATAAGGAAAGTGGGCAAGATTCAAATCCATAGGGACATCAGACTTGGAAAACCACAGAATGGAAGTATGGCACTGAACCAGAATTCCCAGCATGCTCTGGTAGTCATGCCATTGTTTGGCAAACTTGTTCTGTAGCTGTTATGAACTTCATGCCCTGCCAGCCAACAGGGAATAGTAGTTTAACACATTGCATATCCCTTACTAGTATGGCTGGTTTATTAACTACTGGGTTACACATAAATGCCATAGACTTGTACATTGTTACAGGAAAGGCATTCTGTCATGCTGAGATATATGGCATTGCATGCTCTTAATCTTATACAGTAATAATACTTGTATATGCCTGCTGATCACATGCACAACAACAGAGCAGTGTGACTGTATGATTATACAGGTAGATTCTTAGGAGATCCCTCTTGCAGCACTTATCCTCTATGGAGAGATGATGTTCGCCGCTCCATCCCTGTGGGAGAGGATACAGGCACACAACAAGTACTGACGGCAGGATCTAAAAGTGGAAGGATGGAGATGTGCTGATCGGGAGATGAGGGCTGTATGAGCTTGGGCTCTGCTACCGCCTGCACTGGAAGGGACCTGGTGCCCTTGTTTTGTGGGCTCATGCAGCCAAACCACAAGGAGAGGGGCAAACAGCTTGCAGCAAACACCTGGCAGCTGTTTCGTCCTGCTGGAAAAGAGCCAGAAAGAAGAAAGATGAAACCGCATGGTGAGAAGTTCGGAGGTAGACTTTGTCAACTATGTCTGACATAAAACTGATGTTTGCTGTGTGGTGCTACTTAGTGATGCACATGGTTCATCTCATAGGTCTTTATATCATGTAGGTAGCTTAACTGTGTCAGCTTTTCCTACAGAATTGTTTTTTTAAGCACTTGTTAAAAAGGAACATTTAATGAGGATACAAATTGCCAGTATGCCTAAATAGTTTTAAGTTGTGTCCATTATAAATTATTTCTTTCTTATGTGCACCTGTGCTGGTTACAAATGGAATCCAATTAGGTATGCAGACTGATGAACTGTGAGGCCACTTGAGGATAAAATTGTGGTGCCCTTTATGGCCAGGTTGTCTAAAGGAGTTAGAAGCAATTAACTGTCTAAGATAGGCTTTGTTTTCTGCTGCAGAATCCAAAGGGTTAATCTTTTATTAGTTTGCCTTTACTTCTATCCCATCTATATGGTATCCCTGTAGATGACCAGAGAGAAGGCTCAAAGGTCTTCGATAAGTTCACCAATCAGTATGCTAATACCTGTAGGACCTCCTCATCGCAGTGATCTCTGGTTGCCATTTCTGACAAACTCTATTATGGTCTCTTGGGGATGCACACAATGAGTGGGGAGGGTTGTAAGTTTTTTTTATTCATTATAACGCTTAAAGTGACACTAAACGTGGGAATTAAATCTTAAAGATGCATTCAAGTACCCTAACTATTAACGAAAATGTAGATTATTTGTGTATTACTCAGCTGTAGATCCTTAAATCGTCTCTGAATTGGTGCTGACACTGTCCTTTCTTCTTGAGGGTGGCTACTTTTGTTCCCCATGGTCCCTGTGTGTGTTGTAAAGTAGCCACCGATCCAAGCTCGCTCCCGTGATGGACTACAATCTCACGTTTAATTTACTAATTTGTATTGAGATTGCAGTCCATCACAGGAGCGAGCTTGGAGCGGTGGCTACTTTATACTGAGGTGGTATACTGAGCTTAGGGTGACGGGAGGACACTAGTTTGTGTCCTCCTGTTACCCTAACCCCATAGTTAGGCCCTAAAAGCCCTAACCCCATAGTTCTCCTTTAGGTCTTTTATGATGTTCATATGAGATATTATAATAATGTACTACAGAGAGGTAAAACGGGATGTCAAGTCACATCTACAGCTTTACAGTCACCACGGCTGGATGTAAGGGGAAATTTGGAGAAAGAAAATATCATTCCAATGAAAAATTGGCAGAGGATATAACCCATTTCTCATGATCCAAAACTAAAATGAATGTTGTTTGCCAAGATTTGTTTTGCACATTATTCCATGTGCTTTGTGGGCAAAAGAGCACCAAGTGTGAGCTTCTGGGGTACCAGCACATGGGTTTATAATAGTTCTGCTAGATGGTAGAAAGGGTTTCATTACGGAACATTCTGGGCATAGCTTTATTATTATAAAGCTCTACAGGTCTGTACGGTCAGGTCTGTCTTAGTAGTAGAACACAGAAAATGTCAAACAAGTTAAACTCCGCAGATTTAAAATGCAAGCTTTAGAAAACCCTAGGTTTCTTTGCCAGGATGCATATTCAGCGTATCCTACCCTAAAAAGAAACTGTGGTTTGAGTTGGCCAATAAATGGTTTCACTTTAATTCAGCTCTTTCTGTTTTTTTTGGGTAACCCGTGTCTACTGGTAATATAGAACAAAAGGCAATAATGTGTGTCAGCCAATCACAAAACCACTTTAATTTGTCTGATTTCGTTAACTTCCCATAGATTTGATGACATTGGTTGTAAGTTACTCCTCTGAGACAAGAGATTTAGTCAGTTTCTTATAAACTGAATTTAAAGGAAACATTTGAATAAGATTTGAACATTATATGGAGGCTGTCATTTCTGAACTGTCCTTTTGAGAATGCTATGTTGCATGGCTGTTCTCTGGCTTTAGTAATTTGTGAGTTACTGGTACAGAACAAATATGCAAATCAGGAGCTTTGCGTTTACTTGCTGCACATTTGCTCCAAATGAGTGACTCTGAAAGTATTAAAAACATACTCGACTACCATTTTCTAAAGGAGGTCAGCAATGGCAGTCTCCTATTTCTATCAGCACAGGGTTTTTTTTATTATATGCATACAGTGCATAATGAAGAAGAAATGATATACTAATGTAAATGTTTTCTTATTTTTAGCAAACTCAGTAAAGATGGAGATGCAGAGTGATGAGGAAGGGGATAGGAAGCCCCTTCGCCGAGATACTCCAATCCAGTCACAGGATGATGAAAGCGGTTTGGAAGAGCACCTGTCCGAAACCAATGGGATCTCAGACAGTCGCATGAATCAGGAGCTGTCTCTTGATGGTGGAATCCGGCTTCCGAATGGTAAACTGAAATGTGACGTCTGTGGCATGGTTTGCATTGGCCCCAATGTGCTAATGGTCCATAAGAGAAGTCACACGGGTAAGCAGCCAGAAGCCAAACTGCCTGTAGAATCTGATGTTGATATTACCTGATACTATTGCCTGGTTTACTCAAATTTACAAGGCAGGTACACATTTTTTATGGCCATTAAAATGTTACAAAAATGCTGGTGATTGGGCATTTGGACCCATGCCTGGGACTTTCTGTAATTTGTATACTAAGCATGGGCCCATTTGTAGGTATCTGACCTGTAAAGCTAAAAGGGTCTGTCCAGCCAAACCTGATATTTATGAGAAAGGCAGATGCTGGTAGGTTGAATAATCTGCTGGTTTTTAATGTTGTTCTAGATTCCATTAGTGAGATTTTGTGGCTGAAATATCTTGTGCACTATGTGGTCTCATTGCCCCATTAGTAGCCAAAATAGTGTTGATCCTCTGGCTTAGAGCTGGAGCAATGCCCGCAGCCTGGTATCTGGTACGCCTATAAAATTACACCTAGTGTGTGAACTTTTTGACTTTATTTCCATTGTTGTCAATGGAAACACATGTTCCATAGTGTCACAATGTTGTCTGATGGCTCCTAGAGAGAACTACCTTTGTACATTAACTTCTCCTCTGCCCTAGCTGAATTCTGTGAAGTGTAAAGCAAAATCATAAATAAATTAAATTTCCATTGAGAAAGTGAGATTTTAGTGCTGGCTTTGTCTGGTAGGAGAAGTTATGAGCTACCAAAATGTTACTTCTGGTTGTTTCTCACCATTGGACTTTGAGAGCTATAAAATGCTGCTCCGTGGTTATTTAACCCCCCGCATCTACCAAAACGTTAAATATCAGTGTTTACTGGAATGACCCATTTAATTGACAGTCAGACCATGATGGATGCAGTTCATTTAGTATAATGTTAAGGTTTTATTTTTATGAATCAGTTGTACAATGTGCAGCAATGGAATAGGCTTGCTAACTAGTATAGTAATACTTTGCACCATTGATTTCCACCCAATCAACACTTCAGAATAAACAAGATCTATACCAGTTACACTACACTTTTGGTTACCAATGTCAGCCAAAAACCTGGTCAGATAGTGCTCAATGGTCTCTACATGCAATATGCATGCATAGCTGGTTAAGCAGTTTGTATTTGTAAATTGCTACATTCTTATATAATTTCCTTGTGTACAAGGAGAAGGATTTTTTAACTTCTGCAACAAATTTCAAACATCCTTTTAATTGTTAAGTGTTATAGAAGAATAACAATCTGAACACTTTTATTTATCATGTTCTTGGGGCACATGCTATCAAAGCAAGATAGACCTTTAATATTTTATCATAACAGTTAAACCCAGAGTTCTGCAAATAATCATTTCTTAAAGACTTCATTTTGCAAGAAAGAGTGTCCAGTAGCTTAAAGAAGAACTTCGGGCAAAACTTTTATTCTTGCAGTGGGGCTACCCCTGCACTGCAAGGATTCACTGCACGTTTTTGTCTAGGTGCTTAAAAAAAAAGTTATATTCACCTGAACCGCAGAGCTGGCTTGCTCTTAGACCGGTCCTTCCAGCTTCTCGCCCCCTCCACTGCAGTTGTCTAAGGTCCTGTAAATCATGATGTTCTATGCATGATGTGTAGACATGAGGATGCTGAGAAAGATTCCAATGCTGCAGTGTAAGAGGAGGAGACGGGCTTCAGAGACTGGAGAGTTTGGTTCAGCGGTTCGAGTGAGTAAACTCTCCTTTTTTTTTTTTTTAGCACTTAAACAAAAACAAGCAGTTAACCCTTGCAGTGCGGGGATTGACCTCTTTCAGTCAACTGTTCATAATTAAATGTTTTGCCCAGAGTTAAACTTTAACAAAATCCTGTGTTTGGGTTGCAGGCTGGAGAGATGAACCTGTCTGCTATATGTGAGAACAGGGGTCTCTCTGCAGTTGTCCCACAGGCCTTCCACTGAGTCCGAGCTGTAGCTGTCTGTTCAGCCAGAGCCATGAGCTTTGCTGATTGGAGGGCTCTAACTTTAAGTATTGAGACTGCTGCGGAGTACCATAGCTCTCACACAGAAGGCAGCAGTCTGCCTGTGCTCCCTGTGGACTGAACAGAGGATTTTTAAGAGCTGTCAGAGATTATTTCTGAAATAATTTAAAGTAAACCTATAGGAATAATAATAATAATATTTGCAGGACTCTGGGTTTAACTGTTTCTTTTTCCGTGAGGGTACAGTTGGGCTTTAACAGGAAACATGCAGTAATCCAAACCTAGCCATTCCATAGTGCCCACTGTGTAGATTAGCAATAAGCATATCTCCCAACAGTCACCATTTTAAGGTCCCAAAGGAGACGGAATTGCCAAATAAGAGTTTGACCTGTCCAGCTTTGGTCAAATTCGGTAGGAATGTGAAGTGGGGTTTACTGTGTCCCTTTTGTTAACAATGGAAGGTTGGGAGGCAAGTCACACACTTGTGGGGTCAAAATGGGCTTTAATAGTAAGCAGTTTATCTGCTGCCCTTTTAGAAAGCATGGTTGTGGGCAGTTGCAACAGAAAGCATAAGGTATATTTACAGAGAAGAAGGCAGAAGTGGTAGTTGGGGAAGTGAGGCTGTCAACAAATTATTGCCCAAGTCTAAATTTATGATAAACCTCTTGCTCAAAGTTCCACTTTGTTTGAGCAAATTGGGGTAAACTCATTACACTTATCCATTCTCATTACTAAAACTAATTTCATTCAGTCATGAGCACAATATAACACTTCTGTAATAGTAGTTAAAACTTCAGTTATTTATTGTTTAATTAGTATATATGTCAGGTATGGGAAATTACACTGACAGTACCATGATGAGGTACTAACAGTGTAAAGATAAGTGTGTGGTATTGACAGATGGAATGGTTACAAAACTTCAGCTAAGATTATAACACACAGGCAGAGCACCATAACAGATGTCGTTCAGCAAAGGCTCAAGTGTTGGTTGCATGCTATCGTTTGCTGGGAATGAAGAATCATGAAGATTATAATGTGTGTACTTGCAATAGCTCAGGTAATATTACAATCAGATCCTTCAGGCATTTTGCATTGGAGCAGCCAACCCCAATTATATCAAATACAAACGTTCGAAAATGAACAGCATCATTAAAGTGAAACATTGTTTATTGTTTTAAGAGGGAGTTCTACAGTACAACGTATTGATATATCAGAATTTATGGCATGAATCAGTATGTGGTCACATCACATTTGGCTTATTTATGAAACTAATGCAAGAGAATATTTTGGACTGCTTGTAAATAAAGCCAGGGACTTACCTGGTCCGTCATGGCCGGGAACAAGTGATCTTATGTGGTGTGATGTGACAACATCTTTTCTTTTTGTTAATTAGGGGCCTTTGTATGATATGTGCGGCATCCTTTCCATAACCCTCAACTAGCATTATCTAAAGTTGCTTTATCAAGAATTTACTTACATGCACTGGAGTGTACCTTCTTGGCTCTGGGCTGTGGGTTAAAATACTTTTCTATGGGAACAACATGATAATGCATTTATGTTGTAGCCTCCAACATCATCTGTTAAGCTGGCCATACACCTTACAATTATCTGCAGACAGTTTGGCCCAGGTGGAGATTACTCCATCCGCACAGTTTAGCATAGATCGAGGAATCTGTTGCACCTTTTCCATCTGACCACAGAAAATCTGCAGATAATTGTTAGGTGTATGGCCAGCTTTAGGGTATATACTGGGCTGCAGTGCAGAACCCTCCACAACAAGGATTGCTATCTGGTCACTCAATGGGTTATCTCTCCAATGCAGATTTTAATTCTGAACTCCAAGCAGTTCTAAAAGACACACGTGAATGCAGATATGTATTCATTATTACATCACTAAATGCAATTTTATAATCTCAAACAGTATAAACATCTCATTTTGATTTGGGTTTGACCTCTTTCAGTCAACTGTTCAGCAAAACTCACACTGTGAGAGGGAGCAAAAGGAGCCAATGAGCTCTGCTGCAGTCCTCATGTGCTAACAAAGAGCATGCTAATAGATTGAGAGAGCGTTGTGACAGAGCTTTTCATTGTGCTGCTTCTCCATTTCCTGTGAAGTTGAGGATGGGAAAGACCTGCAAGTTTTAATCAAGTGCAGCTAAGAAAAATCATGTTTGCCCTGTACTGTGTTAAAGAGCGGTGTAAATTTGAGAACTGGATGGAGGGAAATTCAAATTCTTTGGCAGAAACTACTACCTTAAAGGTATTTCATCTGTTTATCTAACTATTTGCCTGGAGCTCAGCTTTAACTTTGAATCAGATATTGTAATGGGTTTTGTGCTCAGTACCATTACTTTCGCAGTAAGGCCACCTTTGCACTTGCTAAAATCAGAACCATTTACTCCTGCAGCTATCTCTTATTTAGGGTTCAGAGAGAGAGACCACTCCAAACAGTAGGAGCAACTAAATTGAAGACAAGGTCCCAGGAGAGATCCGACTGAGTATAGTATTTTATAGTCCAAAGCTATAGATAAATTTTAAATGTAGAAGGAATTGTGAGACTCACATAAATAGGTTGCAAGAAATCCCCTTGGGGATATCGGGCAATCTAAGGTGCAAAAAGGCGTGCAGGGAATATATCTGTCCCTGTGCAGGAAGGTCGCTCTCAATGCTCCTCAGGGTGGAGTTTGGATGATCCAAAGCTCGGCAGCTAGAGGGACTGGATGTGTACTGGAGAGATGAGACAAGAATGCCCCCAAAAAACGTAGTTACAAGACAGCAGAGGCGCCCACGTGGAAGAGATGAAATGGGCGTGTTTCTTCAATTTAGACTTTTATTCCGAAAAACACACATATAACAATCGCAGTCTCAATGCGTTTCATGGCTCTAAGATGGCCACTTCTTTAAGAGGGTGCGCTGCTTAAAGTGTCTCCTCACACACTCCTGAAAAAGTGGCCATCTTATTCTCACGAAAGTCGATTATTATGTGCGTGTTTCATTGAATAAAAGTCTAAATTGAAGAAACATGATCAGTTCATCTCTTCCACATGGGCGCCTCTGCTGTCTTGTAACTATATTTTT